CCATTCAATGTGGTCGCCTGGCATGGCAACTACGTGCCTTATAAGGTGAATACAAGTTTATTGATGATGATGAGCTAAGCTCTGAAAAATATTTACACATTTTTTCTGAAGATATCATTTTCCATCTCTGTTGCAGTATGACCTGCAGAAGTTCTGTCCATACAACACTGTCCTTGTAGATCATGGGGATCCATCAATAAATACTGGTAAGATTGCTAAATCTATGCCTAACTGCTACTCTTTTGTTTTTCTACTTTTGTTATCAGTGATTGCTGATATTCAATGTAAATTGCTCTTTTGGGGGTTATACTCTCAGTTCTTACAGCACCAACGGATAAACCTGGTGTGGCTTTACTTGATTTTGTCATATTCCCTCCTCGATGGTTAGTTGCTGAGCATACTTTTCGACCTCCTTACTATCATCGTAACTGCATGAGTGAATTTATGGGCCTAATCTATGGTGCATACGAGGTAAAACTTTAAGTTCCTGCTTCTGGAAAATATTTGCTGTGATGTGTTCTTCCTCCTAGTGTAATCTTGAAGTTTTTTATCCATTTTTCCAGGCCAAAGCTGATGGATTTCTTCCTGGTGGCGCAAGTCTCCACAGTTGTATGACACCTCATGGTCCAGATACAACCACATATGAGGTATCAATCCATCTTTATGCAGCACCGATTACAAGTTTGATTTTATTTTCCTGAAAAATAGTCAAATACAGCTCAAGTCTGAAGCATTTTTGTAATGATTTTGTAGGCAACGATTGCTCGTGTAAATGCAATGGCTCCTTCAAAACTCACAGGCACAATGGCTTTCATGTTTGAATCAGCCTTGATCCCTAGAGTCTGCCATTGGGCTTTGGAGTCTCCTTTCCTCGATCACGACTACTACCAATGCTGGATTGGCCTCAAGTCCCATTTCTCGCGCTTAGGCTTGAACGAGACAAATGTTGAATCAACAGAGAAAAAGACAGGAGCTTCAGAGTAAAGAAAGCATTGTCACTCACGTGTATTGTCAATAGCCAATCTGTACAGACTTTTACCACATACTTTATAAGAACCATACAACAAGTATATATGCTATAAGTGTAGGTAATGTTTCTTCATATCACATTAGTTACATCCTTTGTACTAGAGGCTAATATACCGATGTTGATTTTAGACGCTGATGAATTTAAGAGATTCAGACCACAAGATCACTCAGTTTCACTTTCATCTTCATGATGCCTACTTGAACTAAGATCTCTTTCTTCGACTGTTCTACCTTCAAAACAGTCACTTTTTTACCAAGAGAAGAAACGAACACCGAGTCACCGACTTTAGGAAGCTTAGTATTTCCCTTTTGCGTAGCATCTTCTGTTAGCGTAGGAACATGGTTCAGTTTCAATGATCGAGAGCAGATAAAAGATATATTTCAAAAGGGCTAAAACTTATTTGGATACCAGAAATTGGTCGTCTGGCAACAACAGATGATGAACGAGTTCCTTTATCTCCATCTTTGGTCGTTTCGACTTTTTTTTGGAGTTGTGTAGCTACCTTTGACCGAGAAGATTGTGCAGCAGATGCGCGAAACTGTTGCAATGTTCTGCGAAGTGTAGAACGAGCCGTCGAACCAGCCTGAATCAGTTCTTGTCTCATCTTTACTCTTTCTCTAGTGGCATGGTCGTTAATGTTTTTTTCTGCTGTGAGTAGATTCTTATGAAGCTCTCTTGAGAGCCTAGCACCAGAAAGAGAAAAACATAAAGATAAAGCTCATAAGAACGTACAGTCTCCTGACTCTTGGGTCTTGAATCTTGTTCAATCTCTGAAACAACCATAGATTCGAATGTTACCTTATATAACGACGTGACTCGTTCAAAAGCCTTTGATATTCTTGCTTGTAATGCTCCATGTCAAGTATGACCTCATTAATCTCAGCACTTGCAGAGCCATAGAGTTCACGAGCACTGTCGATGATATCACATGGAAGCCCCAATCTCTCGGCTATGTTTATTGCATTTGAGCGACCTGACAATCATTTGAGTGAAACATATTAACTCCATTTCAGGGGTAAGTAAATAGATCACTATGAGTCTTAGATGAATCTGTAGCTAAACCTGGTACTCCCCATAAGATTTTGAAAGTGGGTTTTAAGTTCAGGTCATCAAACTCCATGCAAGCATTCTCAAAGGCGGAATTGCTACAAAAGATACAAAATAAAAAAAAGGAAACAGTTTATACTCTTTCAGACTTTGGATGATCCAAGAAAAAAGGAAGATGCAGATTAAAACCTGTATTTAAGCATCTTAAGCTCTCCATGATGTGTAGTTGCCATTGTGAGCAGAGAACCACTTTCTGCAAAAGATTCCAGTATTGCCATCCCTAATGCAGCTCCTTCAAGAGGATTTGTTCCTGCTCCAACCTGTTAATAGCACAACAATTTGAAGCAGATTCCTTCAAGTAATGGCTTTCCTACTGTATTTCGGTTTACCAAAGTTAGATGAACATGTCCCATTTTTCAACTTACTTCATCTAACAACACAAGTGATCTTCTTGTTGAATGCAAGATAATTTCCTGCAGATTAACAAATCAGAAGAAGAAAATAAGGTAATAAATATAACAAAGATAAATCTTCCAAACCGATTAATCCACCATTGCAAAGTTTTATCAAAACTGATAATATATATCTAAGCCATGTAGTGACAGCGACAGAGAAACAACTTACACTAATTTGCTTCAAATGACCAGAGAAAGTAGAAAGTGACTGCAGTAAGGATTGTTCATCACCAATGTCAGCATAAATGTTGTCAAACCAAGGTAAGCGTGCAGATTCAGATGAAAGAACATAAAGCCCTACAAAACGCATTACAATCATTTGGTGTTGTTTTGAATTCACAGAAGCAAAATAACAGAAGAAATTGTAAGTTAAATAAGGCTTACCTGATTTTGCCATCATAGCAGCGAGTCCAACTGATTTCAAGGAAATGGTTTTACCTCCTGTGTTTGGACCGGTAATAACCAAAACTCTAGTGCCCTTAGATATTTGGAAATCAGCTGGAATTGGCGGAGCTCCTGATACCGTGTCTCCCTGAAAAAATCAGCCAAGTATATATTAACTTCAGCTAAAACCCATCATCAATCTAGATGATCATTGGAGAACTTACTGTTTTATGATATTTCAGAGTCTCCCGCGTCTTTCTTATGCTTTTCTTGTGTTGGTGAAGCAATAGAGGATGATAACATCTAGGTAGATACAACAACCATTCTTTTCTAGCCTCACTTGAGAAGTTATTCTCCAGTGAGTCGTCTCCAGCAGACAAAGATCCAACTCCATCTTCAGGTGTTAAGTATATATCAGGATGTGCACCTCCATATGCCCGACTGTAAGTTGCTCGAGCGTTTATCTAGCCAAAAGAAAACACACTCTAAGATCTTCTTGTTAGAAGTTCATGCTGCTAATTTTTTTTTTAATGCAAGGAGAAATGGTTTGTTATAAAAGCATACTTACCACATCCAGTTGAATTGAGTAGCTCAACACATCCTCGATTTGATCAAGATCCAGTTGCATCTGTATTGCATGCATCAAAATGAACAAAATGGTCAACAAGCAGAAAGCAGTACAAAGGAAAACTAAATTTCCATAAAATCAATACTCAATAACCTTTTCAGTTAGCATTGCAAGAATATCTGCCTCAGCCTTTGCAACCGATGCTCGCGCACTTTGGAGTTCATCGTTCATGGAGACCGCAGCTATTGGCTCCGCAGCAGTCCCTCCACCTGAATCACTGTGACACATATTACCTTTCAACAGATAGAATTGGAAGATAAATCACAGAAAGAGAAGCATAACTTGGTCAATGATAACGAACTATTAGTCCAATAGATCACTGATAGATTGCTAAATCTAAAAGAATCTTTAAACTCAATCTTACCTGGAAAGCAGAAGATCATTAACAGAAGTCAGCTGATTCGAACTCATTTGTATACACCATCTTCCGTTGATTTCAGCCACTTGCTGGAATTTTCTTTTGAATAATCAATGGGGCAACTTTGTAAGAATGTTCTTGTTTCGCATGACATGGTAAGGGAATACTCACCATGACAGATTCTTCATTCTTTTGGCTCCTTATAATAGCCTCCAGCAGTTGATTCAACTGAACAAAAGAGACATCAGGAAGGTTTTAAACAATCTTACTTTCAAAGTTATCTTCATCAAGACATATTTATGGTAAACAAGATATGTTCTCAGAACTAAGATATCAATGAAAACTTAAAAACTAGAGTCTTTAAGATACTATTGTGACAATCTTCAACTTCATTACAGTTACAAAAGAAAACTAACTTGACCTTTCTTTCAAGCGTCCGCACTCGCTCACGTGATAGTCTCAGGGCACTGCTCTGAAAAAGCAAAGATGAGTTAACATAAGGATCGTGCCTTCTTGAGATTGTAGTCAAAGAGAGAGAAAGAACCAAACCGCGGAATCTTTGATTGTTCCATCAGCATCTATAACTTGCTCAACCAACTTGACAAACGATCTATTTATCACAGGTTGCATTATCTGTAACAAAGAGTAAGGAAGAAAAAAAAGAGAACATGAGATCACCACAATGTTGAAGTTAAAAGAGTACCGAACTTGGAGAAAAAACTGCAAATACCATTTCAGATAGAGGCATAAACCGTTTGTACCAATCTCCATCTTGCTTAATGACAGCTTTCAGACCAAGCTGCAAAGTTTCGAAGAATCGAAGAAGAGAAGCCACCTCAAGTGCTTGCTCTGCTCGCAAAGACATCCTCCTCCGAGCATGACGAATGCCCAATTCAACCTTTCACACAAATCAGTATTACATTAAAATTACAAAACAGATGATCAAAAAAGATTATTACTTTATGAATTGAGGATAGAAAAATTTACCAAGGAGATATGAATGCTGGAGAGGTCAAGACAGAAGGAACCATGTTGAAGCATTTTAATGGCGGCTTCTGTTTCATCCAAAAGCTTCAGACTTTCATCGAAAGTCTGGTCAAGAGACCAAAGCTTTTTCTGGATACTAAACAATGTCAATGTGAGTTTCAAAGCAGAGAATTTGCAGTTACAGACGATAAAATTCTTCAAAATCGAACCTTTGTAGCTTCGCGACCTAAAGAAGTCCGAGCAAAAGAAGCGACAACATCGCAGAGCTTGTCCCATTCCAACACTCTCAAGCTATCGGTTTGAGATTTTGATTTCGATCGGCAAATAAGAGTCGGAGATGAAGAAGATGAACAAGGCGAGGAAGAAGAAATTAAACTCAGATTAACACTGTTTCTGTTTCCGAAAGAGTTTCTTCGAACCACTAGGGCACAGTTGCAGAATGCAACAGATAAAGTCTGCATTTTTTTTTGTTTCCTCTTTGGTTTCAGAGAAGAATTGTGAACATAGCCAATTTCAATCAAGCCAAATTGCCAATTTCGTCATATATTTGGCACCTTATCTTGACAAATAAGATTTTCCCAAACTTCCCTATCATTTTTACAAAACAGAAATGAATTATTCTGGTTTTTTTTTTCACTCAAATCGAGCAGAAGCTATACATGAAGAAGAATCACAATGTGATAGTTATTTTGAGGAGATCACAAATCACAACAAGTCTATTGTTTCATAAGTTACATGTGGCGACATTAGCAATACAACAGTGGTGAGAAACATACAAATTACAGAAATTGTGATTATTACAACAAACTGAGATTTGAGAGAATGGAAAATGAGAATCAAAGGGTTACAAGTGGCTCTTCGTTGGTTTTGGTTTCAGTGGCTGTTGCTGCAGCCTCCTCTTGTTTTGGTGGCTCAGTCTCACCAGAAGCTTTCTCAACAACAGTTTCAACGGCAGCTTCTTGAGCTGCTTCGGTCTTAACCACCTCTGGAGCTGGCTCAGCCTCGGCAGGCTTGGCTGGCTCAGCTTCCTCAGGCTTGGCTGGCTCAGCTTCGTCAGGCTTGGCTTGCTCAGCTTCCTCAGGCTTGGCTGGCTCAGCGTCCTTCTGTGTCTCTGCTCCATCTCCAGAGGACTCTTCCTTCTTCTCTGCAACAACTTCATCTGCCTTTTCCTGTATATAGCCAGGGAAGAAGAAAAAAAAGAAAAGAATCACACATACATTAGCTCAGAAACCAAAATGCATATTATGAGAATATATCTAAGATTGTCTCTATTGATGAAAAACCTGAGCTTCGACGTTCTTGGACTCGACGACAGCGTTTTCAGTCACAGCAGAGGTTTCAATGATATCAGACTCCTTAGGTTTGCTCGCACAGCCTCCCATGGTGTTTAATGAAAGAATCGGGTTGATAACAAATAAACAAATTACAATGGGAAGAACTGTGGAGCCCCAAAAAAATGAAACTCGCCAAAGCTGTTGTTGTTCTTTTTTAGAGGCTGAGCAAATGTAGGGGAAGACAAGAATGAGATATATATAATGGGTTTGTGCGGACACACAAGACAAAGCTATTTCAGGAAAAAAAGACTAAACTTTAATGTCACCGTAGATTCTTTGAAGCTCTTCTCTGTCAACGACCTATTCAACAGGAGAACCAACCTTTTGGTCCCAAAACTGGTCACAAGCTCTTCCTCTACCTTTAGACACTCGACAATAGCAACTAAATGGAAACCCCCCCACCCAAAAAAAAATAAAAACAGAACCATAGTTGGATATTACATGTCTATTTGTTAAAGATATGGATTTTTAAAGCAATGAAGTGGAAATGAAGATGTAAAAAACAAAAAACCAACATTAAGACCAAATCTGGTGCAAAATCTCCATTCAGAAATTAGAGTTTAACGGGTAAGATAACGGTCTTTCAGAGAAGAATTGTTATAAAGAATTATTATTATTTCCTAGCCGGCTTGTTAGAAGATTCTACACCACCATTGGGGACGAGGCTTTTGTACATTGTTAAGGCTTGAGCGATCATGCTAGCCGGATTTGCAGCAGAACTCGGAAGCAGCATTGTTGTACCCTAAACAAGAAACAAAACCAATTACTTTGTTAGATAATACCAAGGAAGGGCGAGATTAGAAGGTAGATGGGATCAGATAAAAACAGTGGAATCTGGCACAGTATGTTGTGTTTCATAATTGTTTACCTCCTTAGCTACGTTGCCAAAAGCTTGAATGTATTGCTCTGCAACTCTCAAACTCGCAGCCTGCATATAATGCAACATGATAAAGCATGAGTTCCCAATTTGAAAAGACTTATGCATTGGATGCAAGTGTGACAAACCATACTACATTTGATGGATTAAGTTAGGTAGCAATAAACGAACGGTTTGTGCAAACAGAAGTAACACCCAAGTAATCAAGTTAATTCATTGAGCTCAAAACTGTGGAAATCGTGTTTTGATTCTCATATACTAACCTCCACTCCACCAGTTTCCTTGAGGGATTGAGATAACAAGGCCAGTCCTCTGGCTGTGGCTTGTGCCCTAGCTAATATTGCTTCTGCTTCACCTGGAGAGCAACAGCACAAATATATAGATAAAAAAAAATGTTGTGATGAAACAAATTGACAAGAGTGGCTTGACATCTTATTACTAGATAATGTAGTTGATACTAACCTGATGCTCGGTTGACTTGGTCCATCTTTGCAGCTTCTGATTCCAAGATTACAGAACTCTTCTTACCGTCAGCTCGATTGATATGGGCTTGACGTTCTCCTATTCAAGTCAAGTTGGTAAAAAACAGATTATGAGAAACAAATGCAAATAAACCAGAGACGTGAAGTGCGTAGCTTTGAGCCAAGAATTTGAACGAAGTGAGCAATAGCAAGTACAATGTGCAATCACAGAACATAAGTATGCAACGATAAGCCAATCCAGATTCTCACCTTCAGACTCAAGAATCTGGGCCCTCTTTTTACGTTCAGCTTCAGCTTGCATTTCCATAGCAACCCTCACTCCATTAGGAGGCATGATATCCCCTGGAACACCCATATGTTTAAAAATAGGCAAAAAAAGTGTATCCATTTAACACCATCAAAAGTGTCAACACGACTATATACTCACTTATCTCATAACGAAGGCACTCAAGACCCCAAGCTTTTGCAGCAACATTGATGGCTTCCTGCAAAAACAATCCCACCACAAAATCTTCATATGTTTGTGATCTCCAACACATAAACTCTTGTCTTACAAAAATAAACTCAGCAATGACTGAAAGAACCACAAAGCTAAACAGTCACATTAACGTCACAGACCATGACACTGAAGAATCTCCAGTTTTTCAATCAGAAACGGAACTCAAACCAAAGTTTGAACAAGAAGCAGAGAAGCAGTAGAGAACGAACCACTATTTTGACATTGAGAGCATCTCGTTCCTCAAAAGTCTTGTCAAGTGTAATCTTACCAAGCTCACTACGCATGGTAGTCTGAGCCAACTGGACAACAGCATAGATTGGATTCTCAACGCCATAAGAAGCCAGCTTAGGATTCACTGTCTGCAACAACAACAAGCTCAGATCAACGAAAAAGAACCTCAATACTTAAAAACCCAAAAATCTCAAACTTGGAGAGAAGAAGATGAGAAACCTTGACGTATAAAACACCATCGATGTGGATGCTAACGTTATCCTTGGTAATAGCAGTCTGATTCCCAATAGGAATCGCTTCCTCCTTGAGGGAATGAACATAAGCGATACGATCCACAATCGGAATAAGAAAGTGAATCCCAGGCTCCAAAGTCTTGGAGAATTTACCAAACCTCTCAATCACGCACGCCCTCTTCTCCGGCACAATCCGGATTCCCCAGTTAATCGGACGCCTGATTTTGTATCTACAATAATCACCAAAAACCAATCAAGCCTAAGATTCCTTCTCAAGTCCAAATATCTTTGACTAATCGTTCGAATTTCACGGAGCGTATACGAAACACTAATTACCGGCGGTAATCAGCGGGAGAGCTGAAGTGGCGGACAGGGGCGGTGGTGACGGTGGCGGTGGCGCCGGAGAGTTGCGGAGACTGGAGAAGTGCTGGAGATTGACGGAGGTAGCGGAGGGAACTTGCGGCGGTGTTAGCGACGGATCTTGAACGGATGATTTGGTTCATCTTGTGTCGCATTGGGGAAGAAAACCCAAACAAAAATCCCTCTTAAATCTTTTTGCTTCTTTTTGGTTTTGATTTGAATCATTTCTCTTTCGTCAAGCTCTGTTTGTTATATACGCATGGATACTTGGAGAAGTGGGAAAAACAAAAACAACTTTTTTTTTAACTTGTGGGATTATCACGAGTATTGGCTTGTAGCCGAAGCAAGAATAAACGAATGCTTTCTTATTTTTCACTTTATTATTTTTCACCCTTGTTTTACGCCATTTGTTGATCTAAGATTTTAATATTTTTCTCCTTTATTAAACTAGAGAGACGTTTTTTTGGATGTCAAAAAAAAAAAAAAAAAAAAACTAGAGAGACGTTTTATAAGATCTTGCAACTAACATACTAAATTTTGAATATGAATTAAAAATAGAAAACAATATGATAATATTTCACGAATGAATTAATAAGTTGCCTTATAATTTTCATTTACTTTTGGGTACTAAAAGTGCTGAAATGTGAAATTCACAGCCTTTTACCAACCAAATGAAACATAACGACCACTCACCAATTTAATTCCGTTGCACAAAGTGCCAAACCCAAAAATAGCACTTTGAGGATAGCCTAAAAACACATTAACAAACCTTATTGTCCAAACCCAAAACTGCTCGCAACCTCTTCACAGTGCCATTAGACTATCAACAATAGCAACCATAACATTGATCTAAAAAAATCATTAGCAACCAATTAGAAAAACAAAACAAACAAACAAAACACAGAACTGGAGTTTGATATTGAATTAATGATATCAGAGAATAAAAGCCAATATTAAGATCAAATCTGGTTGTGCAAAACCCTTTTCTACTTGAGATTAGAGTTTAGATCTGTTTTCTACTAGGCAAAACCACTATAATAAGGTAAGATAACTGTCTTTCGTATGGGGGAAAAAGAAAGCTAAATTTTGGTTTATGATCTTTCCTAGGTCAAAAGAATAAATCTTCCTAGTTCAGCTACCAAAGCTTGCTTCTAGGTGCAATGCAGGAGAGTGAAAGTTTAAGCTTCCGTAACCACGTTGTCAGAGGATGAGTTTGGCTGGAGACCTCCATTGGGGACGAGGCTTTTGTACATTGTTAAAGCTTGAGCGATCATGTTAGCAGGATTTGCAGCAGAACTTGGAAGCAGCATTGTTGTACCCTAACAAGAAGACAATATTACTCTATTAGATTAATACCAAGGGATGAGAAGATTAGAAAGTAGATGAGATCAGATAAACCAGTGGAATCTGGTACAGTATGTTGTGTTTCATAATTATTTGTTTACCTCCTTAGCAATGTTGCCAAACGCTTGAATGTATTGCTCCGCAACTCTCAAACTGGCAGCCTGCATATTGCATTACGATAAAGCATGAGTTCCCAATTCGGAAAGCATAACAAGTAAACTTTAAACTCAATCTCTATTTATAATCTACAAGAAAATCATTTATGGGAAAAACGGTTCAGAAAACTTCATGCATTAGCTAGTGATATAGAAACTACATTTGAAAGATTAAGTAGTGATAAATAACAGAAAATTTTGTGCAAAAAGTTGTATTAGCACCAAAGTAATCAATTAAGTTCAAAAATTATGGAAATCATGCATAGATAGAAACCGTTATGCTTGATCTCATGTACTAACCTCCACTCCACCAGTTTCATTGAGGGATTGAGATAACATGGCCAGTCCCCTGGCTGTGGCTTGTGCTCTAGCTAATATTGCTTCTGCTTCACCTGAAGAGCAACATCACAAATAAATAAATAAATTTAAAAATGATAGAAACAATTTGACGAATGGTTTGACATCTTATTACTAAATACTGTAGTTAATACTAACCCGATGCTCGATTGACTTGGTCCATCCTTGCAGCTTCTGATTCCAAGATTACAGAACTTTTCTTACCATCAGCGATATTGATATGGGCTTGGCGCTCTCCTATTCAAGTCAAGTTGGTAAAACAGATTATGAGACACAAATCACGAAGTGTCTTTACTATGTTTCCAAATGCAGATAAACCAAACAGGAAAGTAGGTAGCTTTTAGCCAAGAATTTGAATGAAATGAGCCGTAGCAAGCACACTGGTCAATCATAGAAACCCTCACTCCATTAGGAGGCATGATAAGCCAATGCAGATTTACCTTCAGACTCGAGAATCTGGGCTCTCTTTCTACGTTCAGCTTCAGCTTGCATTTCCATAGCAACCCTCACTCCATTAGGAGGCATGATATCCTCTGGAAACACATGTATTTAGAAATAGGCAAATAAGATATCGAGCTAACGCCACTAAAAGAGTCAAACAGAGAAATTACTCACTTATCTCATAACGAAGGCACTCAAGACCCCAATCTTTGGCAGCAACATTGATGGCTTCCTGCAAGAATGATTCCATCTCAAAACATGAACTCTTATCTTACAATAGTAAACTCAAACTCATATCCAACAATGTCGAAATGAACAACACATCATAACAATCTCAACCCACTACCAGTAACATCACTGACCATGACACTGAAACTAAAGAATCCCCAGTTTTCAGCTAGAAACGGAGCTCAAGTACATCAAAGGAAAACAAACAAAAAAATGGAACAAGAACAAAGAGGCATTAGAGAACGAACCACTATCTTCTCATTGAGAGTATCTCGTTCCTCAAAAGTCTTGTCAAGTGTAATCTTACCGAGCTCACTACGCATTGTAGTCTGAGCCAACTGTACAACAGCATAGATTGGATTCTCAACGCCATAAGAAGCTAGCTTAGGATCCACAATCTGCAACAAGCTCATAACATAGACACAAGGATCAGCTTAAAACTCAAAAAAACAAAAAAATGTCTCAAACTTGGGAAAGAAGATGAGAAACCTTGACGTATAGAACACCATCGATGTGGATGCTAACGTTATCCTTGGTAATAGCAGTCTGATTCCCAATAGGAATCGCTTCCTCCTTGAGGGAATGAACATAAGCGATACGATCAACACCAGGAACAAGGAAGTGAATCCCCGGCGGCAAAGTCTTTACGTATTTACCAAACCGCTCAATCACGCACGCCTTCTTCTCCGGCACAATCCGGATTCCCCAGTTCGTCGGCGGCTCAATTTGGTAGCTACGGCAAACAAATTCAACCAATCAACCCTAAGATTCCTCACCAAATCCCTAGATTCTCATTCAAATTCAACTAATCAATCCTAACTAGTGAAAAATTTCACTAAATGCGTGGATTCTCGTTCAAATTCCACACGGCGTCTACGAAATCCTAAGCTTAAGAGAGAGAAGGAAAAAACCTGTTGAAATTATGACCGGGAGAGCTGCTGTAACGGCGGACGATGGCGGTGGCGCCGGAGAATAGTGGTGTCTGACGAGGGACGGGAGAGTGAAGTCTGTTGAGCGTACGCGCGGGAGTGCTGAACTGGCGGCGGACGGTGGTGGAGGTGGAGGTGGCGGTGGCTCCGGCGAATAGAAGAGGCAGAGCTGCGTAAAGTGGACGGATGTAGTTGAGGGACAAAAATGCGGTGTTACCGGCGGATCTTCCACAGGCGATTTGGTTCATCTTTGTTAGCTGTGATTGGAGAAGACAACAAAAAAAGATCTAAAACCCTCTTAAAACCTTTTTTTTATATTTTAAATCTTTTCTTTTTTATTTGCCGGGCCATGCGAGGGATCTATATATACTCTTGATTATTTTCTTTTTTAATAAAGGATACTCAGCAAGACTTGGAGAAGTGGCAAATAAAAAGGAAGATTTCAGACATCGTTTAGTAACTTGCCAAATTCTATGAAATAGGTTCTCTGAATATTATTAAAATATTATTGAAATGAAAGTAGGTATTTCATACATCATATTTATCAGAATATGACCGACTATAACCATTAACCGAACTAAGGAAAAAATATATATCAATGGAGGTTTAGTCACGTAATTTGAATAATTTGGAAACCAATAAAGTACAACTTCTTATAAACTCTCAGTTTCCATTTCCCAGAAATTACTTCATGCAACTTTCTTTCTTGTTCCAGTCTTTCAAGCAATGTATATCTGTATATGCAATAAAGTACGTACCAGAATCTGATGCATTGTAATTTTGTCTCATCTTTTATGAAATTCATTCATTCTAGGCTTTTTTTACAGCTCGTTCAGGTCTATATAATAAGATTATATAACATACTAAATTTTGTATATGAAATTAAAATATAAATTGCGTAAAATCATATGACAAGATTAAATGAATAGATAAAAGTACAAAAACTAAACACATACAAATTAAGAATCCCATTAATACCACTTTTTGAACTTTTCATCAATACCACTTTCATGAAAATTTCTTCGTCCACAAATGAGTTTAATCAAGTGATGTAAATATGTAATACATAAACAAATATATACTTATTATATAATGTATATTGAATTACATTTGGAAGGATCTATTATCATTTTAATCAAAACAATCTACTGTATACTCTGTTTTAAAATTTCAGTTTTTGTTTGGATCCCCTAGCGTAAATGGCGTTGCTACTTCTATTAAAAAAACTTTGAACACACGAGTTCAACAAAATCTCGCGGTAAAAGGTGAGAAAAAAAAATTGAATTGTTTAGGTGTCAAAACATTCATATGTACCGACTTTTACTACTCGATCTTTAAACATAGAAATTAGCAGTAGTCTGTAGAAGATTATCGAATAGGTCTTTAATAAAAAAAAAGATTATGGAATAGGTAGGTCAATAAACTAGTCAGAAACATAAATGCGTACTAATTTCAGATACCAAAAATACTCTGGGTATTAAAATGCAAATAAAAATAGTGGTTACCAACCAAATATACAACGCAACGAATGAAAATTAATTCACAACAACCATAGACATTGACTGATTTTCAATTCCTTTGTATAAATGCCAAACCCAAAAACAGCCCTTTGGTGGAAAAAATTTTGTTTTGTCAAAACTCGTTTTCACACCTAACATTTTCACGGACTTCACTGAAACTTATAAACTTTACGAGTACAAAATATAATAAAAATCATCTGAAATCCGAATTTAGAGTTTTAAAAACTCGTGACTCGCGCAGACGCACGCAGGCGTAACAAAAAAAAGCCAAGACAAAACGCCATTTTTTCTTTTTGTCCATTCTTCTTCCTTCCTCTTCTGAAAATTGAAATTTCACAACACTTTGTCTCTCTTCCTAGACTCAAGACCTAGAGAGAGAGAGTGAAATATTACTCGGAGGCTGAAGTTGATTCTCCGGTCATCGGAAGATTGGTTGATTAACGATGGCGATATCTGACCGTCAGAATCGGAGTGCGGATCGTCAGAAGCTCTTCAGGCTATGCCCGTTTTGGCAGAGGAGAAACACCACCTCCTCTTCTCCGTCCTCAACGCAGAACCCAAGCCAAAATTACCGTAGCAGCCGCCGTGGACATCGGAATAATACGGATGTCTCCGGCGTTCCCAAGCCGTCCTCCGCCTTGACTGTCTCTTCCGTCGCGAAATCACTTCTTCCGGCTCGCCGTCGTCTCCGGCTAGATCCTTCCAGCTATCTTTATTTCCCTTGTACGGCTTCTTCTTTTAGTTCGATTTCGTCTGAATTTCTTCAAATGGTTTCATTTCTCTGAAATTGATTTGAGTTTGGTTCTGAGTGTTTTTGTATTTAGAGATTGAACATACGGATTTGCGAATTGAAAACGTAATCAAGATTTTTTTTTGTGCCATGATTGCTCTTATTTCGAGATCAGCAGGCAGTGAGATTGTTTCCCTTTCTTGACATTGATTCCATTTTTTTAGAACGGAATTAGAATTGTGGTTTGTGTTTTCAGATGAACCTGGTAAACAAGTGCGAAGCGCAACCAAGCTTAAAAACACTAGCAAATCTCATACTGCATTTAAGGTAACCGAGTTTTATGTATCAGTGACATCAACTTTGATCTTGATTCTCCATTTGATACTTTTTTCTGGGGAACAAGCTAAGCAACTGTGTGGTTATAGCAAAGCAGTTGACTTCCTGTTGACTTGTTTTAGTCTACTTTGTAGTTGAGATGATAAAGCTCAAGCAACTATGTGATTATAGCAGAGAAGTTGACTTTCTGTTGACTTGTTTTAGTCTACTCTGTAGTTAAGATGATACGGTTTAAGCAACTATGTGATTATAGCAGAGAAGTTGAATTTCTGTTGACTTGTTTTAGTCTACTTTGTAATTAAGATGGTACAGTTCAAGCAACTATGTGATTATATCAGAGAAGTTGACTTTCTGTTGACTTGTATTAGTCTACTTTGTAATTAAGATGATACAGTTGTGGTGCTTTTCATCTAATAAGTCACTATGTCTCCTCTTGTTTAGTTCCAAACAACTGCACCAAAGAGTTGTTACATGCGTCCCCCTGGTGGAGTTTTGGCTCCAGGAGAGAGCGTCTTTGCAACTGGTAAATGAGATTTGTGGAAATCAAAATGTCTTCTTTGGTTTGTTTTCTCCAACTAGTTTACATTACAGCCTGTGATCATTGCTTCTTGTAAACGTTCAAATGCAGTGTTCAAGTTCGTGGAACACCCAGAGAACAACGAGAAACAGAAGTTAAACCAGAAGAGCAAGGTTAAGTTTAAGATTATGAGCCTGAAAGTGAAACCGGGAGTAGAGTATGTGCCCGAATTGGTGCGTTTATTCGCTCCTTTCTAACTCTATCGGTTTATTCAGAAGTCCATTCGTTGAAAGCAATCTTTATTCAATCAGTAGTCACATAACTCATATAGGATAATGCAATGCCATTGGTATAGGTTGTCAAACTAAAGCCATATATCTGTGTCTTAGAGAGTTTAAGACATAAGATTCATTATTTGCTGGTGTTTATCGTGCAGTTTGATGAGCAAAAGGATCAAGTAACAGTAGAGAGGGTTCTTCGGGTCATTTTTCTTGATGCAGACCGCCCAAGTGCTGTAAGCTTTAAGTAGAATTTCATGCTGATTAGACCACATATGCTATAAACAAAATTTTAGATTGAACCTTACAACAAGGAGGATTACGATCTTATGATCAGGCACTAGAGAAACTGAAACGTCAAGTGGATGAGGCTGAAGCTGCAGTTGAAGAAAGAAAGAAGCCTCCACCAGAGACAGGGCCTCGCGTGGTCGGGGAGGGTCTTGTTATCGATGAATGGGTAACTTATTGTTCTTTTGTTCACTTTCTTTCTCCCGTGGATTCGATTTTTTTTTAATCAACCAAATTATGTTTGTAATCTATCAGAAGGAGAGAAGAGAGAAGTATCTTGCTCGACAACAAGTCGAAGCCATAGATTCTTCGTCCTGAAAAACAGAGAGAAACGTGGATTTGTTATAGCGGAGGTAAAAGACGCTCTTATTTCCTTCGTCTTATGCAGCTGTACATAATTAATCATCCGTTAATTATGTGTTTATTATCTATCTCTAGACGATTACTTTGTGGTTCTTGTATGTCTGTTTGTTGTGTGATCCTGCCGGTTTTACTCTTCCATCAAATTTTGTTTCGGTTTATCAAATTCCGTGTTAGAATCGAACCAATGTTAGTTCATTTTTATGCTTTGGATTGTGCTTATGTACCTTTTTTTTCCCCCCAAGCTCAATTGGAAGCAACCAAAGTGAAGAAGACCACTACTGATTCTTTTGTATATTTTTCTCCACTTAGATTCAACAAGTGACATATTTTGTTATCCATTTCTCAATATATAAATGACTCAAAATTATGTATAACAGAAATTACACATCCACCATCTGGACCAAACTGATTTTGAAGTCAAATAATTATACGAAATTGATTTTGACTTGGAAAAGAAAGTTAAATAATTACTAAAATTCATGATAATTCTTATTTTATTCATGATATACACGTTTCTTACTAAAGAAAAAAACGATCCGTTTCCAATATTAGTTATCTTATGGAATATGAATGATGGTTTTGTGGACGCTAAGTTTCCCAAAGACGCGTGATCAAATTTGTTTGGAACATTTCCCAAACTAAGTACAGGTCTGTCTTTGATGATAGGCTATAATGTTTGGTCTCCTTTTTTGTTTCCTGGTTAATAAATAGTTTTAGATTTCATGTTTTTCTTCTACCAGACTTTAAGGTCCGCACGAGTGACCTTTAAAAGACCGTGCTACCCAACCACAACCACAAAAGTGCCCATCTACTAATAAAGTTCTATAGTTGTATCTTTAAAAACATTCAACTAGCCCTCTAATAACGTTCTATATTTGCTACTTTGCTCCTTGCATTTTCAAAACTATGATACTCCTTGCTGGTCAAAAGAATTATTGGACTAGTTGATTGGTTTCAAGATACAACTATAGAACTTTAATACAATTTCAACGTTCGGTTAAGCGGTTTCGAGTGGTTCTGGGTGATCCGGTCTTTCATTCTTCTTATTGTAATGATATAAATAAAAAACAAAGCCTGGTTTCATCAATACGATAATACTAACAAGAAAATAATATTAATTAGGGAGGATTGCTATTGTACCTTTAAAATAGCTGAAATTAGTATAACAATCTTACATTCTCGAAATTAGCAGAATAACTTTCCTTTTAAAAAAAACCCGATTTTACTATTAAGAAGCTTTGGTGAGAAAAAACGTATTTACAAAAATGTCATTATTAAATTATTTCCACGTCAGCCGATAAATTGGACTACCGAGAAATAAATCTATCAATATGAATGGTAGACTTATATGTTTTGGTAGATTTTTAAAAATGTCGATAAACATAATAAAAGTTGGTAGACTTAATATTCCGAAAAATAGATTTGTTTAGATGTTGATAGACTTATAGTGATAGATTTAGTTTTCTAGAAAGGTAGATTTAAAATTCTTGATAGATATTTGAATGTGTTGGTAGACTTGTTTTGTTGTATAGTAGATTTATTTTCAAGTTGGTAGATATATTGTTGTTGAGTTGACTTCATAAGATGTGGTTGACCGAAATCGGTAGACTTATTAACTTTCATAGTAGACTTAGTAGACAAGAAAATAGACTTATTTCTAATAAAAATAAATCTACTACAAAATAAAAAGTTTTTTCGTGATAGATTTGTTGTACGCATGGTAGATGTAAATATCGATGGTAGATTTGTTTTGAAAAAGTAGACTTATTTTCTTTGTGGTAGACTTATTTTCTAGGTGGTAGACTTGTTGTCTTAATGGTAGACTTAAAATTCCCTTAGCGAGTATTGATATGTGATAGACATACGAAACTATGTAATAGATATATTTGGGGATGGTAGACTTATATGTGGAAAATAGATTTATTTGATAATATAGTAGACATTTAAATCAGTAGCGAGGTTCGATGTTGGTAGACATAATGAAATGTTGATAGACATATTACAAAATTGGTAGACATATTTAATCTCATAATGGTAGACTTATTGATTTGAAATGACGTTTTTATCCAGCAGTTATTAATGAATTTTCGGGTTCCAACCACCGCAACCAACTACTTCTAGGGTAGCCGCCGCCATTATGTTCGTCGCTGATTGTCTCTCTTTACCTGTTTTTGGGTTTCTTTCCTGTATTTGTCATCCTCTATCATGTCGTCTTCTTGCATGGTGGATATATTTTTAGTTTGTGGGAAATGGGAATTTCAGAATAGTCGGTATGTTTTCTTGGTTGATAAAAGCAAAGGAAGTCGAGTTGTAGCTGTTGATCGGGAAATCGGGTTTGGGGATTTATTACAAATTGTTTATGAAGAATTTTGATTGGATCAGCGCCGATCTGACCTGCAATTCAGCTATATGCTGTCGAAGAAATACATGCAAAAGCTACCCAAAGATACACTACCGGTATTTGTAGGAAATACTCGACAATTTGCTGGGTTTCTCCGTCACTTTGAAAACGAGACGATCCGTCTATGCATTGAGATTATTGAAAAGGCGTTGACTCAATCTAAGATAGCAAATGGTGTTGAGGTGAGCGGCAAAAGATGTAAATCATTCGTAGATGAAGAGAATGAAGACGATGAATTTGAAGAAGATGAGGAAGATAATGACGATGATGAAGAAGAAAGGTACGACAATTGCGAAGATCCGGATGGTGCGAGTTCTAGTGATGAAGACTACGATTTGTGTGGGAAGAAATCAAAAGATGAAGAAGAAGAAGAAGATATGCAAAACCTGCCACCAAAGAAATGAGGTTTCTCCAGAATAGATGATTCTGTGGAGCTTGAAATGAAGTCCGTAGAGTTAGCTGTAGGTCAATGTTATGACACAAAAGAGGAGTTCGAGACGAGATTGAAGATCTACGAGGTTGCCAATAAAATGGACTTCGACGTGGGACACTCAACGCCCACGCTATTGACGGTTAGGTGTTGGGTCGGTGGATGTAAATGGAGGGTTCGAGCTTCGACGGTTGGAGATGGAAGACAGTTCTATGTCAAAATATACTACGGTTTGCACACCTGTTCTATCACGATGCGTTCTTCACGTGCCCGACAAGCAACTCCTCAACGGTCTACCACCAATCAAAGACCAAACCTCATACTGCCTGTCCACGGCCAATTGGTTGGCTATGAACTGATGAACCATGTGTGAACTCCAAACATATCCCCTAGTTGCAAGCTTCAAAATTGATCCAATTGCACATCTGTTCATTACATCATTAAATATATCATCGCCAATGTTCTCCCTCAACTTGCCGAAATCAGTCAGGTGACAGCCATAGTTAAAGCTGTGCTCCTGTAAGGGAGATTTTCCAGGCTGATGCAATCTTGGGGGATATTCTTTCGAATCACTAGCTGAAGCCATCTAAGAAGAAAAAAAAGGAACAAGGTTACCAATCAACAAAAACAACACCAATACAAAACAACACCAATACGACCTCAACAAAAAACAACAACAATAACAATACAAAACAAGACTACCACATTCGTCAAAAACAAGTCTACCAATAACAAGTCTACCTCACACCAATAACAAGTCTACCACTCGACACAATAACAAGTCTACTATAAACTACGGTTATATTCAACAAACAAGTCTACCAAACAACCATTACATTTCTACAAGTCAACAAAACAAGTCTACCATACACTAATAACAAGTCTACCTAATACCAATAACAAGTCTACCACTCAACACAAACTACGGTTATATTCAACAAACAAGTCTATCAAACAACCATTACAATTTTACATGTCAACAAAACAAACAATTATATCTAAACCTGAAACGACACACAAACAACTTTATCACAATGCTATCTATAAGAGTCACAACAAACAACTCTACCTGACCATAACATAAGTGAAATAAACTTATCTTTTAGTAGTCTACCAAATATGCCTGTAAAATTCCTTCGAAAAACTCACCGGGAAAAAAAATTCGACGAAGCGTAGTTTTTTTTGAGGAAACCACCGCCGACCAACTAATTCCTGTACCGGAAAACAAATTTAGGGTTAGACAGTTTGCACAAGACTTCGCCGGTGCCTCCTCTCGCTGACACATCCGACGACGGTGAACGAACACGAATCAAAAAACGATACAAACCAAAGATTTCAGCAAAACGAAGACATATAAAAATTACTTACCAGAGACGCAGACCAGGCCGACGACTAATGCCGATGAAGCAGAGAACGAGGAAACACCGGAAAACTGGGTTTCTAGGTCGTCGTCGTCTCGTCTAAGCCATTGTCTTCGTTTGCAACCGAATCGCCTCTAGGGTTTCGAAGAACAAGTTTTTTGCTGGAAACTGAAAATTTTATTTTTGTTCAACATTTATTTCGAAGAAAGTTATAATTTACTGTATATTTATCACAATATATTTACTATATTTGTGAATTACGATTTTATAATGCATAAAAAAAAACAAAACCAGATTTTCATTTGTAAGGGGTAAGGCTGTCTTTTCCACGCTTGTAAGGTTATTGTAGCAAAATGTAAGAGACCTAAGTTAGTTTTGCAAACAGACCTAATTGTAAGGTCATTCTAGTGATTGTTCTCTATTAATAATGAGGAATATATATCTTGCTCTTAAACCTTTGACAACACAGAACTCTAACCTTATTGTACGCTGAACTCTAAAGTCTAACCCCACTCCCTTACCATAACCAGAAGATTCAATATCTTTATTTAGAACCACAACATTTCTTGTTAATTCATTTTGGTGTTATTGAATCTAAATAAAGATATTGAATCTTTATAAAAAAAAATTATCTTGATACCATAACCACAATATCTTTATTCTAATGATACAGACAGAAGATAAATAAATAAAATGAAAAATGTAATTGCATAGAGAAGTAATAAATTGCATATATAATGTTTTGTGAGAAATGTGTTGAGGGTCCGTTCGACGTTTATGGATGTCCTACATAAATTAAAAAGTGTCTGTCCCTTTTCATCTGTCTTCTTGTTAATGTTGATTATTTTATTTTTACAAATTGTCCTCACACTATGTTGACTAACTATATCTTCATTTGTCTATGCTCTAACAAGGTATAGACTGTAGAACGCATCCCTCTGCATTAGCAATTATAATCAATACGAAAAGTTTGAGAAAAAAGTAAAAAGAATTAGTCGTGTATTTAGTCGTGTATTTGCGACGTTTTTTTGCTTAACGATGGAACAGAATCCGTTGCTTACAAATTTTGCGATTTAACTTCTTAACGACAGAAATGATCCTCGCTATGTTTAATCAAATCAGTTGTATGAAAAGATATATAATACCACGTGGAATATAAAATTTGGAAAAGAAAGCTGAAAGCACACAAAAATATCTAAGGTTAGATTATGTTTTCTTTATTTTTTGAATAGAATTTCTTTCCTTTTTTTTAAATGTGATTGAATAGAATTCTTTGTTAATACAGAATACTTTTATTCGGGAAAAGGGAGAATAATAATAAATTGACTCATGAAGAATATGAAGGAGCAAAGACAACTAGAGGTGTCGGTTGATTTTCATGTCGCTCTATGAAAGCTTTCGGCCAATTGCATAACCAAACAATACTTTATGCCTTATCAAAAAGGACATTAATTTGTATATATTATATCTATATATACTCCTACCACAAATATACATCATTTATTTCATCCATATCTTTTGCTAAATTAGAATTGATCAGTCATTTTTATCTGAGCAATATCAGATTCATTTCTAGGCGAATAAAGTGTGTGTTAATTATTACGTTTTTGAAACGTACATAGATCACAAGTGATTTTTTTTTTTAAACTTCATTCTAATTAAGCAAAGACTTGTATAACACGTTGTACATCAAACATCATAATGATTAAATGATGGATAATCAACGCATGGTTAATTGGTTCGTTGAATAAAATATACATTTACCATTAATGACAAATGAATACTTAATAGTAGTTAATACTATATGTACTTTCAAAGACCCAATGCTTGAAACACAGTTAAAAAAAGGTTTCTATAAATCAATCATTAGAATTGATTATATACATCGAAGAAAATATCATCAATAGATATCAGATCATTCTTTAACCATGTCCTATGTTATCATTAAAACATTAAACTAAAATTCCAAACATGAAAACATTGTCCACATTTTTTAACACTAAATAATGTAAGGCATAGAGACAAACTATTTCACTCTCAAGACAATTAGATCTTCAAGATAATCCGCTCATCAAAAAGTAATTAGGGTTCGAATGGTGACGGTGTATTTGGCTGTGCGGAAAAAACGGTTTTAAAATGCGGTACGGTTTAATTGCAGTACATGCGAGAAAATTCAATTGCGGTACGTGTGGGAGAATTAAACTGCGGTACGTGCAGAAGAAATTCAACTACGATAAGAAGAAATTCAACTGCGATATGTGTGGAAATAATTCAACCACATTAGTACAAAAAACTATATGAAAAATAAGTACGTTTAATACAAAATAAATGGTGTGAAATGCTATTTAATTAGTGAAAAATATGGTCTAAACATATTTAAAAAAAAATTTGTATTGACCATTTAATTAATTTCATGATTTTCTTCATAATTTTTAATTTTTTTGTTAAATTTATTAATTTTAAATATAAATTTATTTAAAATAAAATAAAGTTTAATTTTGACAAAAATCAGTATTTAGCTTAAGAAAAGTTAAAAAAAATTAGTAAATATTTTATCGTCTAATTTAATTATCTCAACATAGAAAAAAATAAATATTAAACCAACACATAAATTTTATCAATAATTGCTTTAAAATTAAAAAGTTCTATTTTTGTCGTCTTACAAAATAATTAAAAACCAAACCGCACTTGAAAAATCGCAAATAGTTTTGAACCGCTAGATAATAGAAGTGGTTCATTTATAAGTGTGATATATGACCATTCGAAAAAAATGCAAACAGTGTTTCTTACTTTTTGAAAAAACGCAAAACACTTTTAAAAACATATTGATTGGTGATTTATTTGTGGTTTTCCAAAACCACACTTGAAAAACGCATAAAAAGAGTTACCATTCACAGCCTTAGTTTTACATTACGTACGTAAAAAGAATCTAACAAATTAAAATGCATTTTTTTCAAAAAAAAAAATTTAAATGCATTTAGTCACTGTCATTTAATCGGTCACTAAGAGCATGTGCAATGGGAGAGACCATTTAGGGTCTTTACCCTTTTTTTTATTAATAAAATGGATAGCTTTATTAGTAGAAACCCAAGAGAGAGACCTTATATTTTTGGTAGGGTCCAATGGGAGAAATCTTAATGGTCTCTAAAAAATTTTTTTTTAAAAAATTAATGTTAAAAGAAATTTTACATTAAACTTCAGTTTTTATTTTACATTACAACATTAGAAGAAATACTAAAAAATTAAACTTAATATTAAAACATTACAACAAATAAAACATAAATTATTATACATTAAACTTCTGTATTATTTTTGAGATTAACCAAATTTTTGCCAGATATGTTCAACCAAATCGGCTTTTAATTTGTGATGCACATCTGGTGATCGAATTTTTCTTCGGGTATCCATCATATTTATAATATTTGTAGGCATGTTTGTCGAGTACGAGTAATCCACATTAGAACTTTCGCCTCCTTCTCCTTGTTGGAATTCTTGAACATTAAAGTGCTTGTATCCTTCTCGTTCGTCTTCAACTATCATATTGTGGAGTATGATACAAGCTCTCATAATCTTTCCAATTTTTTCTTTATCCCAAAACAAAGCCGGATTTTTGACAATGGCAAAACGAGATTGCAAAACTCCAAAAGCACGCTCGACATCTTTTCGGGCAGATTCTTGACGTTCATCAAATAAACATGCTTTTGGACCTTGTGGTTGTGGTATAGATTAGACAAAAGCTGCCCAATTTGGATATATACCGTCTGTCAGATAGTCTGCCAAATGGTACTCCGTTCCATTGACAAAGAAATTAACTCTCGGAGCTTGACCTTTTATAATGTCATCAAAAACGGGTGAGCGATCCAGAACATTAATATCATTTAGGGTACCTGGAGGTCCGAAAAACGCATGCCAAATCCAGAGATCGTATGAAGCTACCGCTTCTAAGACTATTGTGGGTTTCCCAGAACCTCGTGTATACTGGCCTTTCCAAGCGGTTGGACAATTCTTCCACTCCCAATGCATACAGTCGATGCTTCCTATCATCCCGGGAAATCCGCGTTCCTCTCCCATATAAAGTAGACGTTGAAGATCATCTGCCGTGGGTCTTCTGAGGTACTCGTCGCCAAAGAGATTTATAATTCCGTCAACAAAATTTTCCAGACATGAACGGGCTGTACTTGCACCTAGACGTAGGTATTCATCAACGGTATCAAGTGCCGTGCCATAAGCTAAGAGACGAATTGCGGCTGTACACTTCTGAAGTGCCGATAGACCAAGTCTACCCTGAGCATCTTGCCTATGTTTAAAGAAAGTGACCTCGTTGGAGAGCCGATGAACAATACGCAAGAACAATGCTTTGTTCATTCTAAAACGTCGCCGGAAAAGGTGATCGGGATAAATTGCGTTTTCGCTGAAGTAATCATTCCACAATCTTATGTGGCCTTCTTCTCGATTTCTTTCTATAAAAGCTCTTTTCTTCTTGGACGAGGTTGCCTCTGCTTGATCAGCATAATCAATTAAGAGATTCTCGAATGTTTGTTCGTAAAACTGATCAAACATCTGATCTAAAGTTTCATCAAAGGGAGTTTGGGAAGAAGAAGCCATAAGAAGATAAACGAGATGAGATAATTTGGTTATGAGGAGTATGAGGACTATCAAGTGGACTTAGATAAGAAAGAGTTTGTATGAGAATTTGGTTATGAGGAAGCGTTTGTATTGAGAAGAAAGAGTGAGTTTGTATCGCTTAGAGGAGAATGGAAACTTCGTATTAAGAATAAAGAGATTGTGGACAACGAGTTTATTAAAAAGACGTACATATATATAGAAAGATGGAGAATAATGCAGATTGAGTTTTGTGGTTCATAAACAAACACAACTTGTGGTGGCGAACATATGGACCCAAAAGAACAATAATACAAAGACAATGCCAAATATTCCACTACTTGAATTATTGAGCCACATGTTGTTGTCCCTTTCTGTGCTCTGCTGCTTTACTTTGATGAACCCGTGACTATCTCTTCTCTTTATGTCTCCACAACTCACTTTGAACACTGAAATACAAAGACAAAAGTTTCATCATTGCCTTTATACATAATCAAGCTTCATCATTTCCTTTATACTCTAAAAGCTAGGCAAATTAAGCTTCTCATTAAACATTAAAACATTACACATCATTACCCATAACATCTAAAACATAACGGACACAAATAAGACTTAAACATAACAGACACAAACATGATTTTTCAAATCTTAAACTTAAACCCTAAACTTAAACATAACAGACACACGTAACAGACACAACTTTCAGCTTAAACAAGTACCAAGTTGCAAATCACTGATTATGCATCATTTCGGAAATTAGCTGCATCTTCAGAGCTTATTCTTCTTCACAGAGGGGTCCCTTCGCAATAAGGGAATCAAGAAGAGCCATCCTCTGGGTTTCGTTTTTCAAAACCATTTCTTCTCTTTTCATACCCCACATGTTGCTGAACGCATTAACAGCCTCAACTACGTCCAGCTTTTTACCTTTAACCTTTGCGGCTTTAACACCTGGAGGTCTGACCGTTCCCTGATTAGCCCCTGCACCATTCTTGTTTCCATCTTCATTCCCCTCTGCATTTCCATCATCGGTCCTCCTCTTTACAGTTGCCAACGTTTTTATTGGCTGACAAATCACACCACTTTTGGTCGTTCTTCAGTTCCTTCCAAGCGTGTTCCAGACAGAATTTCTTCTTATGGATATTGAAGAAAATAGCATGCACATTTTTGAGAATGTCATTCTCGTTCTGACCGCTTGTTCTTTCTCTTGTTGCTGCCTCATAAGCCCCACAAAACTTGCACACAAGATCATTAATCTTGTGCCATCTTTGTTTGCATTGCCCTGACTCTCGGACTTCTCCTCCGTTTTGACTCGCCGCAAAGTATGTAGCTACGCGACTCCAAAAAGTTCCACCTTTCTGTTCATTTCCAACAACCGGGTCCTTCGAGGTGTTCAACCAGGAGCTGATGAGCAGGGTATCTTCCGCAGGACTCCACGGTCTTCTAATCACCTTGCTCGTCACTCCAACTTCTTCTACTTCTTCTACTTCTTCGGTGTTTGCTTGGGTACTGAAGGCAGGTAGTTCGAAGGAAGGATATGGATTAGGGTAGCTTGACACACTCTCTTGTTGACTTTGTAAAAGGTCAACAAAGTTTGAGGTGTTGTTAAAGGGAAAGCGTGAAGACATGATGCGAGAAGATAAAGTTATGAGAAAGAGAGAAGAAAAAGAGAGTGATGCGAGAAGAAGTGATCCGAGAAGAGAAAAGATGATAAAGAGAGTGATCCGAGAAGAGAAAAGATGAGAAAGAGAGTGATGCGAGAAGAGAAAAGATGAGAAAAAGCATGAATAAGAGGGAACAAAAGTGTCCGATGTTCAAAAACCAAACATTAACTAAACCCTAAACACAAGCATTCAACACAACCATACACAACAATAAGCATTCATCACAAGCAGAAGAGACTTGACACATATCTACCTTCTACATTAACTAATCCCCTATTCCATTTATTATCTAAACCCACCATCTAATATGGTGATTGAAGCTACCTACTAAGTGATTCTCACCATTTAAGTGATTGAAACGACCTAAACCCACCATTTAATACAACTACCTAGTAAGTGAATGAAGCTAACCTTTTTAGGAGGGTGAAGATGGATGCTTTATGCCACTGTGCTTCTTCTCTCCTCTTCTTGTCATTCCGCAGCATTCACTCCTCGTGCAGAGAACAAAGTGACAATAAATAAGAGTTAGCAAACATCGACTAAACAAACAACAGTTAATGAACTACAACTACTACACAAACAAGACAAGGATAAGACAATGAGAGTTAATGAACTTCAACTATAAATCAAACACGCATAAGCAAAAACAGTCAAGGAAAAGCCAAACTATAGAGACAAAGATCAAAGACAAACGAATACAAATATCAAACAAAATCATCGATTCCACCAGATCAAATAAAATCATCGATAATACAAAGATCAAAGACAAACTATTACAGAGATGAAAGACAAACTTCTACAAAGATCAAAGACAAACTTAAACAAACTAAAACTGATCGGTTGGATTCTGAAATCATACTTAAACTTAATATACAAACTTATACAAAGATCAAACAAAAGATGATCGATGTGATATTCTTAACCAATCATCGATACTTAAACTTAAAGATCAAACCCTCATATATTGTCACCAATCATCGATACATAAGAAAATCAGAAGACAAAAGCCAAAACACTTAATCAGCCAAGACAAAATCAATCGTCGATCACAAATCATGAAACCCTAAATCAGCATAGATATCCAATCAGAACCAATCATCGATACCTCTAAACCCTTTTATTAAATTAGTTATTCCCTGACATAGAATCTAAACCCCAAAAGCAAAACATCTTCAATCGACTCTTCGCTTACCTTCGCCGACGAATACATGGATCCAGAAGCTTCAATCACTCGAGACTCGTTGCTTCCGCCAGACATCGACGCCTCCGTCTGAAACACTCGCCGACGAAGGATCCGATGAAATCGAGGACAGGAGGTGATCGACGGAGGGAACGAAAAAAGAAAAGAGGTCGGGTATGAAAAAGGTTTGACGACCAAAATGATATTTTTCTCTTCTTTTTTTTGTGTCCAATAAAAGCCGGCCACGTGCGTTCTCATAGACGTCTCTCCGAGCTCCAAATTAGAAGACGTTTCTCCTCTTTTTTAGTGTTTTTCATTTATTTAATTAGATTAAAAATGGGAGAAATGGGGGTTAAATATTCGTTGAACATGCTCTAAACTACTGTATGAAGCAACTTCTTTTGTCCTATAACGAGGAAACTTTTTTTTATTTTATAATTGTTGTGTCAAAACTTCAACTGTATAAACCGGCAAAAAAATCGTCATCGATTTAAAATTCCGTAAGCCAAGATTTAGACTTTTTTTTTTGTTTTCCGTCAAGCCAAGATTTCGACAAGAACGGCTACAATGCATAATTATGTCTAATTGTCTATGCACTGTTTTTCGTTTCATAAATAAATAACAATATAAAGTAACTACTTTATTTATAAAACTAATTAAAAAAACAATCGTATTCCAATTTCATGGAGGGTCGAAAGGAATAAATATGTGCCGCCCACTGATCGTGCCCTCGATCGAAAGCAAATTATTCATCATCACTACTAAAAAAAAATCCCAAAAGTCGAAAAGGACTACGAAAAAATATTATTTTTTTCTGACCAATGAACAAATTCGGGAAATAAAATATTCATTTTGCTATATATAACAAAGATTACAATTCGACCATACATAGTTTAGCAGAGTGCTTCGCCACCATAAATACACATGCACACGCACGTATTATATACACAAATCATAGGTTCATGAGTAAGAAGACGAAGCTTTAACAGAGAAAAAGAAAACTAAAATAGCCTAAAGCCCTGAAATTTTTCGACAAGTTTCTAATTTTGGGAGGATATTTTTTTTCTTTGTTTTAATCGATAATTTACAAAAAAAAAACGAAAGGCGAGCGAGAATCAGAGGAAGTTCAGGGCGGTCGCGACGTTTCTTCGAGATTCGTCTTCTTCTTCTTTATCGTCTTCCTCGTGGGTTTCTTCTTTTTTTCCTCTCTCTTCTCTTTCTGATTTTTACCGCCGGAGATTTTGTTTGTTTCTGTAATATTTTCCCCGGCGGTCTAGAGATATGAAGGGGAGAATATCGAAGATAGGAAGCTATGCAATCTCTTCCTCCATTAGAGACAACCAGCACCAGCAACCTTGTATTTCCTGTACTACTTTCAACATCCTCGCTCCGATCTACAAACGCCTCTCTCAAAAGGTTTCTTCTTTCTCGATTCTCTGTTTTGTTTTGGGTTTTTTTTCTTTATGAGGGGTTTTTGTTTATATGTATGTGTTTTGGGGATGAATGTAGGATCAGAGTCTTCGAGAAAGCGATAATCGAGCGTATTGGCTTGGAAGGAACCATAGAATTCTCGATTGGTTGTTGTACGAGAGGTCTTCGATCATTTGTTTGCAGGTTGTTCGACGAAATTCCTCCCCTTTTTTGATGTTCATATATTTGACAATGTTCGAATCGTTTTTGACTTCTGTGCTCAAATGTTGATGATTTGATTTTAGGAGTTTTGGGTAGGCAACGAAGAGCTTGTTAATTTGTACGAGAAGAGGCTTGGAGACGCTGGTTATCTCAGTTACAAGCTTGGCCGTACCAACAATCGTGGTGATGGTAAAATGTTGCTCTGTTCAATCTTTAATCGTTCATGGATATGTCAAGAAGGAAGAAAATCAAAAAGATGTTTCAATGTGTTTCTTTTCTCTTTGTGATTGGTAATAGGTCTGCTTACGGCTGTTCATAAGGACTATTTTAGAGTTGTGAACTCGAGGGATTTACTTTTCAATGATTGTGGTGACCGAGTTGCGCAGTTGCTACACGTAGAACTAGTTCCTCCTTACTCTCAGTACGATGCTCATCAACAAGTTTTGATTGTCAACACTCATTTGCTCTTTCCTCATGATTCTACACTGTCCATAGTTAGATTGCAGCAGGTAAGATTTCCTTCTTAAATCTGTGTATTAGGCAGATAACTTTTTGTGAGTTTAGTCTCTCTAAACAAGGTTTTGTTTTGACAGGTATACAAGATTCTTCAGTATGTAGAATCTTACCAGAAAGAAGTCAATCTCAGTCCAATGCCTATTATACTTTGCGGGTAATTACTTAGTCTGGATTCTTACATTTCTCATGGGTTACATCTAAGGAACTGTACTAAAATATTTCTCTGGTCATTTCTATTTGTGTCTTTGTGGCAGAGATTGGAATGGAAGTAAGCGAGGACATGTCTACAAGTTTCTCAGGTCACAGGGTTTTGTGTCGTCTTACGATACTGCTCATCGGTACACAGATTCAGATGCTCACAAGGTCACTGTCTTTCTTCATATGGAGAATACTTTTGGGTATGCTGTAGATTTTTCTGATGTTTTGAATTGGCGATCAGGATACTGAGACTGTTGTCATCTTTGGTTTAACAGTGGGTAAGCCATCGGAATCATCGGGGTAACATATGTGCTGTCGATTTCATATGGCTTCTAAATCCAAATCGGTATAGAAAGCTTCTAAAAACAAGTTGGAGTGAGGCAGTGTTTGGCATGTTCAGGGTAAGACGCTCTTCAATATCCTCTTATCAAAAGTTATCTCTTGGTGCATTTCACTCTCTGAAATGATATTACATCTTCTTAATTATCCAAAAAAGGGGATCACTTGTTGATTTTGAAACGGGTTTTACATTAAATTAGAGGATACTGATCTCCTGCTTCAGAATTCTTGTCTACATGATTTCCTGGGACAGTATTATTTTCTAGCTTCTCCTGTAACATATGAGCATTTTGATTTGCAGTATCTACTGAGAAGAGCCTCTCTAACAGCTGAAGATGCTTTTGCCTTTCTGAAAACCGACAATGATGGTGACCACATTACGTTCATGGGCTTCTGTGAGACTCTTCGACAGGTATATAGAATCTGTAACGCTATTTAATCATTCTTATGACTTCCTTATTCAGCTGAATGTTCACAGAGTTTCCTCCTTTTAAATTATTCCTATACAGCTCAATCTAACGGGTCATTGCAATGGACTCACCACAAAAGAGATTAAAGATCTGTGGATTCAAGCTGATATTGATGGAAACGGTCTTCTAGATTATAAGGAGTTTCAGGTAACGTCTCTTCATGATACTCTTCTCTCTAAAACTTGTCCATGATAACTCAAAAGCTAAGTTTGAGTGACAATGATCACCCATGACCATCTCTATATTTAGAAACATTAAAAGCCTTACACTTTCTCTTGAAACGCCCCCCCAATGTTGCTCAGTTGCTTATTGTAACTCATTGCAGCAAAGAATTTGGAACCAAACATGGTCAGAACAGAGAGATGCAGAGGACGGAGAAGCAAAAGGTAACCAGGAACAAACCGTTGGATTTAGCGTCAAGAACGCAGTCTTGTTTCCTCCTGAAGTGGAAAAAGGAATGTGGCCAGAAAATTACTCTCTCTCAGATCACGCGAGGCTAACCGTTGTATTCTCTCCCATAAGAATGCCTTGCTCTCAATTGGTTTCATGACAAAAACACTCAACAACAAACCTAATAGCTTCTTCCATTTAAGAGACCTCTGAGTTTTTGTGTCCCCTTTACAGAGCAGAATCAAGACTTTGCTCTGTCACTAATTGGTCAGGGCCGCGCAGACCGCTCTCACCCTGCAGTTTCTCCGTTGGGGGAAGAAAGAAGAGAGAATGGACACAAAGGTCATATACATTATACTGTGTACAAACATGTAAACCAAATTTGGAAGCTTCATGTAAAATAAAATGTTGTAGTAGAGATTTAATTTAAGAAGCAGCTTTGCAAATCTTTTATCTTCTTTCTTCGTTATTTTGCCTTCATTTTTTTTGTTTTTGTTTTTGCAAATAAGTGAATATTAAAAGTTAATACCATACCTCCGTAGAGAGATTGTTAGACATGAATCAAGAAGTGAAATTATCAAAAGTTATTCACAACTCCAAAGTTCATATATTTAATGATATACCAAATGTTATGGGATACTAATCATATATGATTTCATTTTTTGTTCTTTGTCTACTGGTCCATTTTCCTAAAACTAAAGATTCAATTTAAATAAATTCCTTAAAATCCTTCTGGGTTGTTTGGATACGTGGTCTTTCGTAACCAGGCCAAGAACACCATTTTAAGTTTTAACAAACATGTGCCGAAAACTGCGCATTATAAAAAACAACCAATGAGAGTGGCTAACATACACCTTTAAAATGTTAACTAGATTTTAATCTCGTGCGTCCGCACGGGAATGTTTTATTTTTTATTTCTAATATAAGTTGCATTTATCTTTTTTGTTTAAATTTTATTTATTTTTGTTATTTATTTTTTAAATCAAAAATTGTTATCATATTTTAATTTTAAACAGTAAAATTTGTATATTAGTAGAATAAGAGTATACGTTAATTAAGTATACATTGATCTAATGTTAATTATAAACTTTGTTATTATGTGAATTTAGATTTACACATAAACAATCTATATATCTATGAATTTGCTAATCCATCCGTTTAGTTGTCTTAAATCATTTTTAATATCTTACATGTTTTGACAAACTAACTCGTATAAGACTATAATTATAATTGTATAACCTTATAAATATTTAATATGGAATATTTGGACCAATTGATTATGAAAAAATATAATAAGATATTTATTTATTATTTGTGATATTAAAAAAAAGTATATATATATATATATATCTTATTATATAAAAGAGAATGATTGAAACGTAGTAACTCGCAAGATGATGACACGTGTCAAATAAAACGATCAGATTTTTACACATGTTTAATTAAATTTAAATATTTAAAAAAATTTAACGAGATTTATATTTTGACAAATCTTAATTTCAAAAAATAAATAAAAAATCATAATTTGTTTTAAAAGATGAAAACGTGAAAAGGATAAAAATCTTGGTTCCTATCTTAAAAGGTAAATAAAAAAAGATAAAAATGTATAATTAAATTAGAGTTAAATTATAATTTCAAAGTTGGTTCTTATCCTAAAAGGTAAAAAAAAAAATTAAAAAAGGATAAAAACGTTTTTAATTCAGTTAGAATTATATTTTGACAAATATTAATTTTAAAAAAGGAAATACTAAAAGTATATATCTTTGATAAAGGATAAAAACGTGAAAAAGAAATCAAACATATCTTATTCAATTAAGATATGAAAAAAAGAACTTTAGTTCCTAAAACTAAGATTATAAAAAAAAAAAAATTAAAAAGGTCATACAATTTTAAAAGGAAAAGGAATTCTAATTTCTCACCACTATAAAAACCTGTTTGATAGCTTCTCAAATTCACAACCAAAATTCTCAAATTCTCACCACTATTTCTTAGGCATCAGCGTATAATTCTTGGTTCGGCATCAGCATTTTTTTTTACGTCTTCTCAACAATATAACTAACAATATAACTAAAATTCTCACTACTATTTCTTAGGCATCAGCGTATCATTCTTGGTTAGGCATCATCATCTTTTTGCTACGTCTTCTTAACTATATTTTCTCTGTTGGATGCATTGCTATCATAATTATCTAGGGCTACGTAATAATTTAATAATTTTATATCTAAATTATTTTTTTATATTGTTTTCAGGAATATCAAATATCAAAAAAAAAAAAAACAATGAGTGCTGAAATTCTAAACAACAACAGGGAGTATTTGACATTAGATCAGTTAAACAGAAAACGTTCCTACCGTCGTACTGTAGTTCGTCTAATCAGAAAGTGGGAGGCAAGAAATCTGAAAAGAAACAATGAGCTCATAGGAATTAATTTCATATTACTTGATGAGAAGGTTAGTTTTATTGTTCAATTAAAAAATATGTTTTTCTAATTTTAAAACTTATTATCTAACTTTAATCCATTTTTTTTTCTATAGAATAATACTATTCAAGGTTCTGTACACCATTCTCTTCTGGAAAAGTTTGCAGATCAATTGTGTGAAGGAAATCTTATTGAAGTTTGCAATTTCAATTTGCAAGACTGCAATAAGAACTACAAAATTTCTGATCATAAATTTATGATTAGATTAACTGAGAGAACAAAAATAGCCTCTGTAAGACAACAATTTTGTCAAATAGCTCATGAAAAGTTTCGACTTAAAAATTACGAGGATTTGGTTAAACTGAAAGATACATCTGAAGATTTATACGGTACATTCTTGATTTTTTAAATTTAATTTTTTAAATTTGATAGATCTATATGTGTATTTAATTTTTTTTATAATGTAGATGTAATCGGCTATATCAAAAATATGTACAAAGCAGATGTTCGTAGTCAAACAACAGTCAACCTAAGAAGGGTTACTCTGACTATATTGTTAGAAGGGTAAGTTTTTTTTTTATTTAGATTACACTCTTATAATACTTTTAACGACAACTATTGTTTTGTGTTTGTCTCTTATTTGTTCGTCTTTTTAAATGAATTAACAGTGGAACAGAAATACCAGCAACAATATGGGCAGAACAAGCAGAACAATTGGAAGATAAATATCGTGGGATGGAAAGTGATAACATTGTTCTCATCATGACAAGTGTTTTGATTAAGACGTATCAAGGTGCAATTTGTCTGTCAGCATCTTCTGGAACCAAATTCTATTTGAATCATGATTTTGATTCTGTTACTGCGTTTCGAAAAAGGTATATTTGTTGTTTTTTTTAGTTTCAAAATTACTAATTTGTTGATACTCAATTTATTTAACTAATTAAAATCATTGTATCTCTTTAGCTTCAAATACGATGGATGGTGTATTGTTAATTTAGGCGACATGACTGAAGAACAATCAATTGATAATAAAGATTCTGAAGCCCAACATTCAATTAATGATCTTTGGGATTTTATCTCATCTGATGTCCCTCAGGTAATGCAACTACATTCAATTGATAATTTATTGCATATCTTATTAAATCTTAGTGATACTAAGATAATTCTGAAATATTTTCAACCTTATTATTAATTGCAGGATAAAAAATTTGTTTGCAAGGCAACTATTACCGAGATTGTGTCATGTAAAGGTTGGAATTACATATCCTGTTCAAGTTGCTCAACAAAGTTGACAAAGTCAGGATCATCACTTTCTTGCCAAAAATGTGGTAAATCACAAGTCGTAGGATTGCTGAGGTATTATTGACAATATTATTATGATATTTAAAGTTTTACTATCATTAAGTTTTGTAGATACTAACCCATTATTTATCTTCCAGTTTCAGAATTGAAGTAATAGTAGACGATGGAGAAGATTCTGCAACTTTTGTCATATTTGATGAAGATGGTGCTAAAATCACTAGAACAACGGCAGAATCCATAAGAATGATACATTATGCACATATATTATATTTATGTTGATTTAAATTTTATCTAATAGTTAAACTAATTTTGATACAGATCAAAAGAAACTCCAGCGAACAAGAATTGGGACAGATTCCCAAAAGTGTACAATCTATCGTAGGTGAAACTTATTTATTCGAAATAAAAATTAAGAAAAAAGATTTTGAAGGATCATATCAGAGTTTCACAGTATCAAAGATTCTCAACCACATAAAGGTACATATAAAATATGCCAACTTTTGCTTGCGTTATTATATTAAGAATATATTAGTTAACTTAACATTTGTTTTCTTGGTCGTTTGTCTTCAATTCTTCAGCCAATTTCAAACGGCAAGAATTGTGAAAGCAATCACGAAGAGCAGGAAGAACCAACTGGCAATCTCAAGAAAAAACCACGAATTGAAGTCTGAATCTTATTATATAAGATTTTTTTCCACCTCTTTTTAAAGAATAAGCTGTTAGGTTTTTTTTTTATTTTTTTGGTCAAGTTTGTTAGGTTGCTTTTAAATTTTTTAATCTTATCTTATTATAAACACCTAAAGTTATACTATAGTTTTGGTTTCTATTTTTTCACCTTTTATCCTTTAATTACTTTTTGATTATAGATAGAGGGAATATGGACATATTACTCTGATTTTGATTGCTCATTACGCCCCACGTGTATAACAAATACTTTCCATACAATCTGAAATCTTATACAAAAAACAGAGTAATTACCCAAGCATTATAATTATACCTGACTCATCAATTGCAGTTTGCAAAATCTGATGGTTCATTTGGATGAAGAAGTCAAATCTAACAATTAATAATTACATAAACTAAAGCAATTAAAAAAACGAATGTGCTAATATGTTTACTTTCAAAAATATTTACAACATTAAAAAACGTAAAAATAACTAACGCTACTAAGATAAGGACGATTAGTTATTTAATCCAAAACTATTGAAGAAAAGGAATCTGCTTACACATTCCTTCAAACAAAAGGAAAAAAAATAGTCCAATATACGGTTTATTTGGATAAAGAAGTCAAATCTATCAATTAATAATTACATAAACTAAAGCAATTAAAAAAACAAAAGTGCTAATATAGTTACTTTAAAAAATATTTATAACATTAAAAAAGGGTAAAAATAACTAACGCTACTAAGATAAAGATGATTTGTTATTTAATTCAAAACTATTGAAGAAAAGGAACCTGCTTATATATTCCTTTTTCAAAAAAGGAAAAAATAGTCCAATATACCTAAAGCTCTAAGGAAATTGACAATATTATCCAGTCTATAAATAGTTGAAGAACAGTCATTGTGTAAATTACGAGAATCAATCAAAACATGAATACCAGAGAGAAATTTGCAAATAATGAAAAAGATGAACAACGAGATAACAAAAGGAAACGTCGTATTATGAATGATATTCAGATTGATATGATGGAGAAGACGCTTATAGCAGAACCTCAAAAGCGGATGAAAGCAGC